CTTATTTACAAGGTAAACAAAACAAACTCACTTAAAACAATTATTGACATTTTTAAAAACACATCTTGTTTTTTAAAAATATTAAGCTCTAACAGTTTCTAAATTCTGTTTAAACTTCATTTTAATTTTAATCCTATTCACCGTGTCTTTAAACCATGTTTAAAGTGAGTTTTAAAACCATGCTTCAGATAACAGTTTAATCCCACAGTAGACAGGGTCTAAATTCCCTTAAATTTCCTCACAAAGATCAAATAAAGTTAATCAAATCTTGTTCTCGGAAAAACCTGTCTGTTCTGTTTGATCCAAAAAAATAAAGTGCCTAGTTCTTTGAATTCTGTTCAGAAATGCCCATAAGTATTGTATTCCTCACGCTATGCTTTCTGTTCCACAGAAGCATTTTGCAGTTGTGTGACCTGTCTTCTAAGCCATAAATACATCAAATCAATCCAATAACTGTCTACATATATTTGTTTAATGTGGTTATGTGGGTATATAGCTTTTGTTGTGCTTCATTCCCATGGACTTCAGTGGTAGCTGTGCAAGTCTTCAAGAGCAGAATTTGGCCTTGATTCCATAAATAGATCTTAGTCTCAAACACTCTTAAACCATGCTATGAAGTGCAAAGTTGCCTGTGCACGGGTGCACAAGAGTTGAAAATGAATGCATGCTTAATTCCATGTGTGCATGCTTCAGTGTACTTGCATGCAGTTCCTGTTAATTGTATGTATGGCATGCACGTTTTTGAAAAGATTTTGCACGCTACCAGTATCATTTTAACAAAAAAGCTCACATCATTGATCTGCACGATCTAGAATCAAATATGAATACTCACTCAGGCCGCTGAAAAGTCTGTCTAGTTTGTAATATGAAGGCAGCTGTATATTGTTTGGAAGGAAGCTCATCTGTTCTCACAGATTCAGTAATGTGCAGATTCAGATTCAGTTTCCTTTAATCTGTTGCTGCCACCTGCTGGGGTTAGTTCTCTACAGCACTTAAAACTCAGACACTGAAGAGTCATCCATGCAGTACAAAATGAACGCTGTGTTCTTTGTTTGCCATTTGTACCAATGATCGTTTTAATTGCAGACCTGGAAAAGGATAATGAAAAAGCAGCTTGTTTGTATGTGTGGTTATTAATCCAGGTTTATTTATAATCATTACATAATAATCATCAGAATGGATTTTAAGAACGATTTTCCTACATAAATCTAATTAGAATAACATTTTTTACAGAAGTGGTGGTATACTATGCTTTGCTTAGGGCTTGGCTACACTTGCGAGTTTACAGCGCAATAAAGGAGCCCCAGGTGCACTAGCTCACTATCCGTCCAAAACTGGCAAGGCACGTAGAGCGCTCTGACTCCGCGGCTACAGCACTGCTGGTACTCCACCTCGGCGAGTGGAATAACGTTTGCTGCGCCCCGCTGGAGCGCCGCGGCGTCAGTGTGAACGAGGTGTTGCATTACTGTGCTCTGATCAGCCTCCGGAAACGTCCCATAATCCCTTTAAGTCAAGTGGCCACTCTTGTCATTGTTTTGAACTCGCTGTAGGAATGTGGATATGTCCTTTCAAAGCTCCGTTTCTGACAGCTGGCGGCTTATCTGCTCTGGGACAGAGGAACCGTTACTGAGGAATGCTGCTTGCTCTGAGTGAGAGAGAGAGAGAGGCGGGGGAAGGGGAGGGAGGGAGGTCTGCTGCTGTCTGAACTTACAAGACAGCATGCTGACATGCTCTCAGCCCCCCAAAAACTCACTCTCTCTCCCCCCACATACACACAACACACTCCCTGTCATTCTCCACCCCACCCCCTGCATTTGAAAAGCATGTTGCAGCCCACTTGCATGCTGGGATAGCTATCACAATGCGCTGCTCTTTGTGGCTTTGCAAGAGCTGCTAATGTGGCCACGGCAGTGCGCTTCCAGCTGAGAGAGTAAACACTCAGCAGGGTTTTCCCTGCTGCTGTCTCCGAAGGCTGGTTTACTCCCAGTGCTCTACAACTGCAGGTGTAGCCATGCCCTTAGTAAAATGTTGATGTGGGAGAATACTAATGATCAGAATCTGTAGAAGATAGAGAGCACATCTTTTTTAAGTTTCTTAAAGCCAAAAAATAAAGTTGGCCAAATCTTTCTTGCATACGTTCACCTCAGGCTCTGCTCCAAGTAAAACTTGGGAAGGAGATAAAATTGCACAAGGATGAGAGGGTAGGCTGTTGTATCAACAAATGTCTGCTTTCCATGGGCTGAGCTGTAAGAGAAGGATCAGGCAGACGTTATCACTTAGTGTCACTAGAGATGTAAAAAGCTGTAATAATTCTAACGCACGCAGATCAATACATTTTGTAAAATGAGTTTGAAAGTGCTCACACTATACCTGTGTCAGGGTATAAATCTTATGTAGTGATTCTCAAACTATAGTTGCTATAGTATTCCAGGGTAGGCAGTACCTGAATATCTAATCCTTTAAAAAAAAAAAAAAAAAAAAGAAAACAAGCCAACAGCAAAACTTTCCAATATACATTATGAAGAAGCAAAAGAGGCCACAACCCCAATTTTTTTCTTTGTACTTGATCTTTAGATGCAATAATTGTGAACTGTTTCACAGTCAAAAAACTGATTAGCGTTAGCCAGCTTGTAAGCTCTTTGGGGCAGGGACCAATATTTACTTCTGTTTGTACAGTGCCAGAATAATGGGGCCATGATCTTGATTGGGGACTTGGGGCACTGCCATAATATAAATGATAAATATTTTCATAAAGTCGGGGGTAAATTATTATGGACCAATAGCCACAATTTAAAAATGTATATCTGGAACAAATGAAATCCTAACAATCGTATAAGTCTGTTAGTAGGTGGGGTTGGTAAAATGTAAGTAATGATGAAGGGAAGGCATTTTTCAGTACATACTTGTTCTTTATTTGGAAGAAAACAAGATGATATACTCACGTCTTAAAGGGATGACTTTGTTTTATCACAATTATTCTGACAGTAATTAGGTAGGATGTTAAATAACTACTAAAGTTAAACATTTTAAAATCTGCCAGACCACGTAACTTTCACCCAAGAGTTTTAAAATAATTGACTAAGATGCTTTCTGAGGTATTGAATGTTGATATTTAACAAATCCTGTGGAGTACTGGTACTAAGTACAGACTTGAGGTGACAAAAGCAAGGATCACTGTAGCAATCTGAAAGAAAAGGTTGCAACCTCTGGCTAAAAGTAGTGAGGAAAAAAGCAGTTGGTCACTGGTATCATCTGCACATCCAGAAGCAGCTGAGGATCCAGTAAATGAGCAGCACTGCCAATAGGCTTGAGTCATAGTCATAGAGTTTAAGGCCAGAAAGGGACCACCAGATCTGATTGCTTGTATATCACAGGCCACCAACACTAAATCCAACAACCAAAATTAGATCAAACGATAACAGCCTACAAGAGACTAGACTATTATGCGCCACAGGCAGGGAATAGGAGAGACCAAGGTGCACCTGTGCCTGAGGCCCCGCCATGGCAGGGAAATGAGATATACCCAGATAATCCTGGCAAGTGAGCCGCACTGACACCACAAGGAAGGTGGAAAATCCCCAAGGTCACTGCCAGTCTGACCTGGGGGAGAATTCCTTCCCAATCCCACATATGGCGATCCCTTAGACCATGACCATGTGAGCAAGAACCAGCCAGCCAAGCACCTGAGAGAGGATGCTTGATGCCACCTCAAAGCCCTGGCCCTCCCCATCCAGTGGCCCATCTCCAGCTGCAGCCATCCCTGCTGCTCCAAAGGAAGGAGATTTAAAAAAAAAAAAAAAATTCCAGAATACATGGGGGGTGGAGCGGGAAATAGTTTTTTGAACCCCACAGGTGGCTGGCTGAAACACGAGCTTTTAGGAGCATAAGATATAAACCACAAATTAGTTCCAAGGCTGCTAAGCCTGCACCTTGCCATCAGAAGCAACACAGTCATACAGTTGGACTCATAAATTTGTCCTGCTCTCTCAAAACTAATTAAGGTATTTTCCTCCACAACTTCTATTGGGAGGCTGTTCCAGAGCCTCACCCCTCCGATGCTTAGGAACCTTCTAATTTCCAGCCTGAATTTGGTCGCAGCCAGTTTTATACCCGTTTGTTCTTGTGCCAACAGTGTCCTTTAGCTGAAATATCTCTTCACCCTCTCAGGTATTTACTCCCCTAATGTATCTATTGAGGTGATTGGGACAGCTTTCAGTAACCTCCTGAAACTCCTACACTCAGAAGCTCACCATCAGCACATGTGACTTCCTGCCATATTTCCGGGCCTCTGAAGTTGAAGGCGCTTCGTCACTTGGACTCCTTTGTAGCATTGTAGTACTGTCCAGTAGAAAGATAAAATTGTCCACTCTGAATTTTGGTGTAGCTACATTTGTAAAGCATATGGTATCTTCGGCATCTTGCAGCCTTTTGATTTTTCTAATCTCCCAACAAATCAGTGTGCCGTGGGATCCTTCTTGCCTCCCGACCTCTGGGTATTAATGCTTTGCATTTACATGTGCTCTACAGATATTATATAATCCTCCTTCCTGGGATGTTAAGAATACTGCTTCTGTGACACTCCAAGCACCTGCTGACCCTTAGTTCAGCTCGCTAGAGGTGCTGCACTTCTAAACTAAACAATGAGGCCAACTGAAGAATTGTCATAGTTGGGACTCAGTTGTTCCTTCTCCAGTTCCAAGGATGCATTCTTGACTATTAAATCTACTTCTGCTTTAATATGTATTGTAGTCAAGGGATTTAAAACCTGTCAGACATTCATTCAAAATGCAATTATTGCACAACTAATCGCACAGAGTGTCAGAAGTTAGTTCCATTAAACTATTAAACCTTATAAAGAAATTGTTATTGGTAGTTGTCAGATTATTTCATTATCATTTTTATTAACAGTGTAAATGTGGGTTGGCAGATCGTGTGTTGGTTTCAATTAGAACTACAGTAATTGCGTGTCTTTCTAATTTAAATGTTTTGTTTCTTTTCAGATATACTTGAAAGAAATTTTAAGAGAAATAGGCATCTACAATGTTAAGGGGACCCACAAAAACACATGGGAGCTGAAGCCAGAATATAGACATTATCAAGGAGAAGAGAAGAGTGATTAATGCCACTGTTAATGAAGCAAACACAGAGGCTATAGAATAATGGGACTGCGCTGAGGGAACGCTGCAGTTAAACAGACTGGACTGAGCACAATTCAGTACCAAGAGATCTTAAAAAGAGTAATACTTTGTAATTTGCCTGGCTTCATTTTTAAAAGCAAGTTTCTTGGATGTTTCTATACGTTTGTCTTGTTTCTGACAAAAAAAATTACAGAATAAACTTGTATTAGATTTATCTTTATTAGAAACCTTTTGAGTTTTGGCTTTGTTTTTTTAATAGTTTTGAGTTTTGTTAAATATTGATCGCTTTAAAGTAAAACGTACTTTAGAGGGACCTGTAACTTTGTGTTTTGCATCCCAGCAGTACTGCGTTTTTACTTCCTATTCTGTGTTCCTTAGTGGCCTGATCCCGTGAGGTGGTGATCATCCATAGTTAATACTGATTGGGAATTTATGGGCACTTTGTGCTTTTTAGGATCAGTCTTTAGTCATGACACTCATGGTGATTCTAAGTCTTCCTGAGAACAAATAATGCTCAGTTTAAAAAAAGCTCTTTACTAAACTGGTTAATGGGGAGAGGGGAACCACTACAGTTGATCACTGAGGAAAAATTACTACGGCCCCATAAGACCTTTAATATGTTTGTTTTTTAAAATGTGCTCATGTTTTATGTTTAAGCATATCAATAAAGAGAGCATTTAATTTGTACCAAATAAAATTATGTATATTATTGGGTGAATATTAAAGCTCTAATCAATTGAATTATATAGATATGAAAGGCTATTTTTAGACATAGTTTCTATCCCTGAGTTTGCCACTGGATCTCCCTGCAACATTGAGAAAGTCACTTAACCATTCTGTGCCTCGCTTTCCCCATTTTTAAAATGGAGCTAAATGCCCACTTTTGTAAAGCACCCAGCTGACATGTACTGTTGTAAGTGTAAAGTAGTCTCCTTTTATTTTTTTTTTAAAGAATTGTTATATTTGGCATCCCAAAATTTCAGGAAAAATAATGTGAAAACAAAAGTAAGGATGCATATGAATTAACTCAGTTATAGCAGCAGTTTCAGGTTGGGTGGAGGTTAAAGGCATTTTGTTTTTAAGCAGGGTCAATTTAACTTAATCTATGCCTTGGATATTTTTTCCCTCAAAACATTTTCCCACATCACTAAAATCTGTATGTCACTTGTAGACAGATGTCAATGAAATTGGAAAGATCTACTTTAAAAAAAATTGTTTTTAATTGTTAGTAAGAGTAAATACCAATGTTTTTATTACAGAGACAAGGGGGGTGAGGTAATATTTTTTTATTGGAAGAACTTCTGTTTGTGAGAGAGACAAACTTTCGAGCTTACACAGAGCTCTGTTTCAGAATGTCACAGCTAAACAGGAGGTGGAACAGATATTTTTATTGTCATTATTATGTTGATTATGGAAGAAATGCTTTATCAGAGAGGAGAGTCTTTCAGAATCATAGAATCATAGAATATCAGGGTTGGAAGGGACCCCAGAAGGTCATCTAGTCCAACCCCCTGCTCGAAGCAGGACCAATTCCCAGTTAAATCATCCCAGCCAGGGCTTTGTCAAGCCTGACCTTAAAAACCTCTAAGGAAGGAGATTCTACCACCTCCCTAGGTAACGCATTCCAGTGTTTCACCACCCTCTTAGTGAAAAAGTTTTTCCTAATATCCAATCTAAACCTCCCCCACTGCAACTTGAGACCATTACTCCTCGTTCTGTCATCTGCTACCATTGAGAACAGTCTAGAGCCATCCTCTTTGGAACCCCCTTTCAGGTAGTTGAAAGCAGCTATCAAATCCCCCCTCATTCTTCTCTTCTTCAGGATTGCCTGAAGGTGATGAGATTCTGTATTGTTCTGATCTGCACTGGAATTTTGTTCCACAGCTGAGCTCCTTCAGCCAAGAATGCTTTATCTCCAGCTCTGCAGTGCTTTTTTTCTGGACTTTCTGAGCTGCATTAGCCATGGATGGGTGTGGCCCATGGATACAAATGATGACACTGATGTGGCAGAGTCCTAGGCCACTTATGGCTTTGAAGGTCAAGGTGAAGGTAAAGGAAGTGGAGTAGGAGCCAAAGGAAGGACAGTAGCTCAGAGGCAAAGTTTCACAGTGGTATATCCAGTTGAGGTAAAAAAATATTTACTTGGAGTGAGCGCAGAGAAGAGGACTGTGTACAGTTTACCCTGCTTACTTACCTTTTGCTTAAGAAAGGAAGAAAAAGCCTGATTAATTTTTCCAATTTAAGTACTTTCTATTGATTACCTTTATTTGATTGAACTCAGTTCTCCCTTATTGCTGTTTTTGGAAATATCCTGATTTCTAAAGTTACAATCCTAGTTATTATTTATTTGTTGTACTGTAGTGCCTAGGACTGTCATGAAAAGGATGCCATTTGCTAGGTGCTGTACAAACAGAACAGAAATATGTGTCTCTGTTGCAAAAAGCATGCACTCTTGTTCTTCTATTTGTAATTTGCCAATATTGATATAGAAATTAAGTCCAGCCATTGGCGTAAAATGCTCTTAATGGCAGTCCTGTGTGATTCGCCTAACAAGAATTGTATTTTTGATTTTGATGCATGTTAATTACTGTTTCATAATCTGTCTTCAGCTGCTCAGCGGTTTAGCAAAATATTATAGTTATAGTGAGATGAACTGATCAGTCACAGTAATACAAAAGAATTAAAGAAATTCAGTTATTTTAGTGATATGCAGAATGCCTGTTACTATAGGAACTAGGCACTGTTTACAGAAATTAAAAGCATATATGAGATAAATATGTATTATAGTAACCTATTCAGAATAGGCAACTAATGTTGCCAGAAATAAATTAATATCCATATCTTTGCAAGTTGATCCACCCAGGAGCCGGGCCACTGTGTTGTTCACAGGCTGAAGCTTGCAGGTGATCTTCAGGCATTGACCTAGAGACAGAAAAGACTTCAATCAGCTAATTCATCCATTTCCCTCCCTCTCCCTGGTTTCAGGGTTCTTCCGTATGGTGTAACACATGGTGCTAAGCACCTCAAGTTTGTCTGAATTAGGGATGGGATGAATAATCCCTTCATATACAAATACCTACTAATCCCAAAATAGTGTTGGGATTCTAGTTTTTACTAGCTTTTTCTCCAGGGAGCTCCACCAACAGAAGGGGGAGAGGAGTGCCACTTGCCCAGAGCAGTCTGATGGGAGTAGCCTGGCTTTAGGCAGTCTGGTCTGATGCCCTGGTCTCCCTGACTACTTTTTTATTCATTTAACCAGAGAGTTGCAGGAATGTCGAATTTGATTGTTCCTCCACTGACTGTCTTTTCCTGCTTGGTGGTGATGCCTACAATAAGGCTGCATTTTTCTCTAGTGCAGAGGTTCCTGAACTGTGATTCGCAAAACACATCCTTGCTTGGTCATCCCTGGAGAACTGGCCGGTCACGTGGTGCTGTTTCTCCTTGTATCTGCCTGCTAAATTTCATTAAATAAACAGATGTATTTTTAGGTTTATCAGTTTCCCAATGTCACTTCGTGCTGGCAAGTTCTGTAGCTGCCACAGGGATATTACATACTCCTGAACAGAGGGAATATGGTGGCACAATTGTGTGGCCTGTGCAATAGTGAAAGAGAAGGGAGATGATCCATGAGAAGACCACTATTAAGATACGACTCAAGCACTGAAAAATTGGGAACCCACCCTGTAGTTCATGCCATGACATATGTTTTAGGCTGTGTAGTAGACTAAGGATCATGTGCATGTGAAGTAAAATAAACATCAACTGGAAACGTCTGAAACTGCACGTTTTGCATTTAGTTCCTAAAAACAGCCTCTGAATATTTCAGACAATGAATGTTGAAATCCATAGCCCTAATTCCAACCCCAACATTATTTGTCACGTGTCAGCAGTGTGCTTGGTACTTCAAAATAAGACAACCCAGTCTCTGTCCCAAGTAGCTTACCCTAAAGATGACAGACAAATGGGATGCAAAAAGCTAGTCATCAGTGTTAGGGATATTGCACCCATTCAGCTGCACTGGTATAAATCCAGAGGGTAAACTCAGAGCAGCAGCTTCAAGCCAGGGCATACCACATCAGTGCAGTTATCCCAGTGCAAAACTCCCTAGTGTAGACAAGGTCCAAGCATATGTGACTCATGATGAAGGCAGTGCAGGAATCTAGCAGTAGCAGTCTCCAGAAAATTATGTGGAAGATGGGGCAGGTCTAACTTGGAATGTGCATATGTAAGTCTGTATATTCTAAAATATAAACTCAGAACACCGGGTTGGAGTAGATGGTGCTAGACACTGTCAATTCTGGGAAGTTGTCGTATAAATAAGAGATGTTAGTTCTCTTTGTTGCACCTCAAAGGGAGCACCATGTGAATATTAAAAGTGTGCTGGCAGAAAGTCACACGTGTGTCTATTGGAACAGTGTTACTGATTCTTTGACACAGGTATGAGCATCCTCATTTGGAGTGGGAACAGTGCAAACTAGCTGTTAAAATTCCAGTGAGTGCTCCTCAAAGCCTACCCTGTTTTGAGTCACTTCTGTATTGTCTTCACCAGCTGCTTTAAATTGGCTTTGACTGAACATACCTCCTGTATGTGTCAGTTCTGCCTACCCACGTTCAGATGTCACCATCACTAAGATGGCATTTGGTGAGTCATCGTATTGACTCCCAGCAAATCATTTTCTTTGATTATTTATTATTCATGATTGAAAGCACTTCTGCAGGCTCATCCCGGTGAGGGTCCTTTCTCTGCAGTTTCCAGAGACAGTTCAGAGCTGTGGTCAACATGAGACACCTCACAGGGGCAGCCTGCCCCTTTGGTACAAACAACAGTGGGAACACTTCCCCGGAGCTTCTCTGCCTTTTGATCTTTAAACTTCTGTGAGAGGAGTTGTGAGTTTTCAGATTTTTCTACCTTTCAGCTCTAACCTTCTCCTCCCTTGGCTTGTTTATCCTCCATCCAACCAGCTACTTCTCCAACCAAGATTTTTCAAGCTTATTGTGCATAATCTGAGATACTTCCCCTTGCCCACTTCTCTCCCTGAGTGCAGAGGATAGAGGCCGACCTGCCATGAGCAACCCATGAATCCTCTCTCCAGAGTAGAAATGGGGAGATTGGGAGTGGGTGACGGTAGCTAGAGATCCTAACGTAGACTAGAATCTGGGATAAGAAGAGGTCCTGGTGCCTCTCTGGGGAAGAGGAAAAGGAAGAAGAAATGCAGAACATTAAGGC